GCACTTCGTCCCTCCTGCCTGTCTCCCTCCCTCCTGGAACGTCCCTGCTCTATCTGCTGTCCTTTCTCCTTCCTGCGTGCCTTCCTGCGCTTCCCCCCTCCCGCCCTGACCCCGCCTTTCTCCCTTCCCTCTCCCCTCCCAGCTCCCGTGCCCTTTGCGCTGTGGGACGACGGACGGACGACGTCGGTCAAGCACCCTTCCAGCGCGAGCAGCCCGTCACACCCCGTCTGCTTTTAGATGTTGCCGTCTTGTTTTCTACCGCCCATTTGCTTCTCCCTTTCGCCCAGCGGGCCAGTGCCTGGGCGCAGCGGCGCGCCCAAAAGGGCCAGCCAACAGTAGTCGCCCAAGTGTACGCCAACGGTTGCCGCCAAAACTGTCACCAGAACGGGGGGCCAGCACCTTCGCCAAAACACCGAAACTGACATCCCAAAGTTTCGGCACCTTTATGGAGGCCAAGACAGCCCATGCCCAGCACGTTGTCCAGAAGTGCCGCAAGGTTAAAAGCAATACAGATTCCTGTCTGGAGGGCTTTCTGGATGACTCCCCCCAGCTTGGGAGGCACCTTTTGGCGTAAGTTTTGGCGCGCTCTCTGGGCGACTACTTCTGGCTTGCCCAGTTTAGTTCGTTGTTCTACGGGGGGGTGAGCACCGAGGCTTCTCAGCGCGAGTGGTTGGTGCCGGTCGCGCAGGGTCCGCGCGTTCCTCGTGCGCCTTGCCGAAGCGGTCACTACCAGGAAAGCGAACGCCCGCAGAGAGGAGCCCCGGCGCTGAACAGATCCGTGATGCGGAGAGACATCCGCCGTCAAGATACTGTGAGCCTATGCCAGTGCGAGGCGACCGCCACGTGCAGACCACTGTTCAAAGGCCCACTCGATCACGCGGTCGCTGGCCTGATCATTCATGTTCCACACCAATGGAGGGGCAACCGAAGCCACTCCTGCACGTATACCCTTGATACAGACGATGATGCAGAGGAGGGCCACAACGGCCCCGACTCGTTTGGTCGAACTTGCATGCACCCACTTCCAACAACTTTTATGGCCACAACGGCTTGACCTGCTCTCCCCGACATCGGTGAAGGACAGGTTCGAGAGCCGAAGAGACCATTGGTCTATTGCCTTCCCCAAGGGGCGCTGAACGACACACTCCACAGCATACCACCAGCGGGAACAAGCGAAGCTTCTGCACGCCTCAGCATTTGAGCGCAACGCTCTAAACCTCCCCCGCCTGGCACGAGCTCGATCCGGGCGGCGACGAATGATGGTGATGATGATGATGATGTTGATGATGATGATGCTGATGATTATGGTGAGGCTGACGATGATGCCGATGATGGTGCTGTTGATGATGATACTGATGATGATGACGACGATGCTAGTGGCGGTGGTGGTGATGATGCTGAGCAGGATGATGATGGTGATGATGATGATAGTGGTGTTCGTGGTGATCATGATGATCGTGGTTGTGCTGTGGATGATGATGATGCTGATGATGTTGCTGATGCGGACGGTGCTGATGCTGATGGGAATGATGATGATAACGAGAGTGGTGGTGGTAGTGAAGATGATGATGGTGATGACGATGCTGCTGATGATGATAGCTGTGGTGATGATGATGATGATAGTGGTGGTGATGGTGCTGATGTTGATAGTGGTGGTGGTGATGATGACGATGAGGATGATTATGATAGACGTCGTCTGTGGATGATGCTGCTGATGATGATACGCGTGGTGATGATGATGCTGATAGTGGTGGTGATGATGATTACGTTGGTGATGACGATGATGACAGTTGTGATGAGGATGATAATAATTATAGTCGTGGTGGTGGTGACGGTGATGATGACAACTTTGGTGGTGATGATGATGATGATGATAGTGATTATTATGGTTGAGATGATGATGGTAATGCTGATGATGATGACAGTTGTGGTAGTGATGATGACGCTGATGATGATGATGATGATGATGATGATGATGATGATGATGATGATGATGATGATGATGATAGTGTTGGTGGTGATGATGCCGATGATTATGATGATAGTAGTGGTGGTGATGATGATGCTGATGCTGATGATGACGATGGTGCTAGTGGTGGAGGTGATGATGATGGTAGTTGCGATGATGAAGATGATGATCTTGATAATGCTGATGCTGCTGATGATGCTGATGGTAGTGATGGTGGTGTTGCTGTTGCTGATTCTGATGATGACGATGGTGATGCTGCTGCTAGTGGTTGTGAGGATGATGCGGCTGATGATGATGACTATGCTAGTTGTAGGTGGTGATGATAGGTGTGGTGGCGGTGATGGTGATGATAGTGGTGGTGGTCTTGATGCCGATGCTGGTAGTGATGGTGATGATGGTGATCATCATGATGATGGTTGTTGTGATGATGACGCTGCTGATGATGATTTGGTGGTGGCGAAGGTAGTGAAGATGATGCTAGTGCTGATGCGGCTGATGGTGGTGATGCTGCTGATGATGAGTGTGATGCTGATGATGATGATGATGACAGTGGTGGTGGTGGCGGTGATGATGAATATCGTGGAAGTTGTGATGATGATAATGATGATAGTGGTAGTGGTGATGATGCTGATGAGGGTACTATTGGTTTCGATGGTGATGATCCTGATAGTGGTGATGCTGATGAGGAGTCTGATGCTGAGTCGGATGATGGTGCGGCTGCTGATGATGATGGTAGTGGTGATGATGATGCTGACGAGAATGATCGTGGTGGTGGTGGGGATGGTGCTGCTGATGATGCTGTGGTGGTGCTGCTGATTACAGTGGTGGCGGTGATGATGCTGATGGTGAAGCTGATGATGGTAGTGGTGGTGCTAACGATGCAGATGACGATCCTGATGATGAGGATCGTGGTGGTGATGATGATGATAATGGTGGTGATTTTGATGATGATGATGATGGTGATGCGTCTGATGATAATGATGATGGTGATGATTAGGATGATGATGGTCATGATGACCTTGATGATGATGGTCCTAGTGGTGGTAGTGGTGATGCTGCGGATGATAATGAGGATGATAGCGGCGGTGGTGATATTGCTGCTGCCGATGATGATGTTGTTGATGATGATGATGATCGTGGTGGTGGTAGTTGTTATGATGATGATAGTGGTTGTGGGGGGGGTGGTTATGATGATGCTCATTATGACTATAGTGACGATGACTCTGATGACGATGCTGCTGATGACAGTGATGATGCTTCTGATGCGGATGATGCTGATAGTGATGATGATGCTGATGGTGATGATTGTGATCATGATGCTGATTGTGATGCTTATGATGGTGATGCTGATGGCAATGGTGATGACGCTGAGGATGACCATGATAGTGGTGGTAGTGATGATGATGATGATGATGATGATGATGATGATGATGATGATGATGATGATGGTGATGCTGCTGATGATGATAGTGGTGGTGGTGATGCTGCTTCTGCCGGATATGATGATGGTAGTGGTAGTAGTGGTGGTGGTGATAATGCTGATTTTGATAGTAGTGGTGGGGATGAACATGATGACGATGAGGGTGATGATCGTGTTGATAATTATGATGATGTTGATGATGACAGTGGCGATGTTTCTTAATGGTGATGATGGTGATGCTGATAGTGGTGATGATTAGGATGAGTATGATGATGGCGATGGTGATGTTGATGGTGATGTTGCTGAGTGATGGTCCGTGATTGGTGATGATGTTGTTGATGATGATGCGAATGCTGATGATGATGATGATGATGATGATGATGATGATGGTGATTGTGATTGTGGTGTTGGTGGTGATGGTGATGATGATCAGACGATGAGGAGGAGGAGGGGCAGGAGCAGGAGGAGGAGCAGTTGGAGGAGGCAAGGTAGGTGCGCTCGCGTCATGTCTGACGTCCTACCCCTCCCTCCCATCCCTTATCATGGCGTAGATATCCTCTCTATCCGCACAAGCGGACGTCGTAGTATGGCGTGGCATTACATGGCATAGCATGGTGTTGAAGATCCACGCGTAGCATGACATAGCAGGGCGTGGCGACGCCCCAGTGGGGGGCGGGCTTCTGCGGCCCAACAGTCAACGAAACGACATTGAATGTGTAATCATTTCCGATTGTTCTTCGGGAGACCATTTTCTAAATTTTGGGACTTATTTGGAAGAACCGACGACCATGCCGTGGCATGGCACTGGAAATAATGACGCCAGCGCTGCAGCAGGAGCACGATTCGGAACGAGCGGACGCGCGGAAATGAGGCCAGCGCTGCAGCGGGAGCACGATTCGGAACGAGCGGTAGCCCGAAAATGAGGCCAGCGTTTCCGTGAGAGCAGCATTTTGAACACAAAATCCAAGCGCGGACGCGCGGAAATGAGGACGCATAGCCTGACATAGCGTGGCGTGGCGACGCCCCAAAGTGGGGGCTTCTGCGTCCCCAAAGATCAACGAATCGATACCGAATATGTAGTCACTTCCGTCGGTTTTTTCTGGGGGGGGGGGGGGGGGGGCGGGGCATTTTTTAGATTTGGAGCTTATATTTGGAAGGACCGACGACCATGCCGTGGCATGGCACTGGAAATGATGACGCCAGCGCTGCAGCAGGAGCACGATTCGGAACGAGCGGAAGCGCGGAAATGAGGCCAGCGCTGAAGCGGGAGCACGATTCGGAATGAGCGGTAGCCCGAACATGAAACCAATGCTTCAGCGAGAGCAGCAGTTTGAACAACACCCCAAGCGAGAACCCAACTCCCGGGAATCCTGTGTGTAAAAAACCAGTACGTCGTGAGGGGGGGCGAGTATTTCCCGGACGCCACCAGGAGAGAGAGGAGAGTATTCATATTGTGTAATTGTAGAACGAGGGGGAGGAGCAGGAGAAAGGATGGACGGAGGGAGGGAGAGAGGGAGGGCGGGAGGAGGAGGAGGTGGAGGAGGCGGAGGAGGAGGAGGAGAAGAGGAGGACGAGCAAGGTGGTGAGAGGCTGCCACCGCGGCCGGAGGAGAATGTGACGCGGAACGCCAGCGCCTGTGGCGGCCGCGCGCGCACGGCGACCGTGACGAGTAGAAGGAGGAGCAGGAGCAGGAGGAGGACGAGGACGAGGAGCAGAAGGAGGAGGAGGAGCAGGAGGAGCAGGAGCAGAAGGAGGAGGAGGAGGAGAAGAGGAAGGAGGAGGACGAGGACGACGACCCCGACGACGGACGTCGACGACGATGACGACGACGACGGTGGTGGCGACGACGACGACGATACCGACGACGACGATGACGACGACGACGACGAAGTTGACGACGACGACGACGCCGACGACGACGAAGATGTCGATGACGACGACGACGACGACGGCGGCGACGACGACGATATCGACGACGACGACGACGACATCGACGACGACAACGATATAGACGACGACACCGACGACGACGACGACGGCGGCAGCGGCGGCGGCGGCGACGGTGACAGCGACGGCAACGGCAATGGCGACCTCGAGGATGTCGACGACGCCGACGGCGACGGCGACGGTGACGACGGCAGTGGCCTCGACCTCGGCTCCGATAGCAATTACGACCTCGACGCCATCGACGGCGACGACGAGGGCCGAAAGTGGGAAGGATCGAGAGAGGACGATGTTCGACAGCGTATCCCCTTCGTCTGGATACGGCCCGCCCATTGTTGGCTCCCGGGCGAGTGCGGTCAACGCGGTGGCGAGCGACATATCCATATCCAACCCCCAGCCACCCTGTTTAGGTTTGCTCTGAACATCTTTCGCCCCCCCCCCCCTGTCTTCCACACGGATGGGGACCCCGGGAGGGTAACCGTAGGAAGCGGTAGCTGCCATGTAGACGCGGGTGGTCGTAGGTGATGAAGAGGAGTGATGATCAGGATGTGGAGCTCTGTTGGCAGTACATTGCCGACGAGCCTTGTACGGTAGTGCGCGCTGCCCCATCTCAGCTTGCTGATTGATGTGGCCCGTCGAGGGTTTCGGTCCTGGCTGCTCGGTCGGGCCTCTTGTTCGCTTCGCTCTGGGGTCCTTGGTCCGTCCTTCGTTTCCTTTCGGACCCTTGGGCCCTCGTTCGTTCGGAACTTCACGGAATTAGGGCATGACGCTGACCCACGCACAAATCAGAAACACATCCATACCCATGGCCTTGGGGCTGGGCCCCTAGGACGCGACCCCGTGGCTGCGGGGCGTCTTTTCGCGGATGCCCCGCGAGGAACATATCCATCACGGCATCGCGCCCTGGACTCCAGACTGCGAGGGCATGGATATGGATACGTCCGCTGCTCGTGAATTTCGGTGTCCCAAGGCGACGCTCAGCTGGGGCGCCGCAGGCCCGCCGCCAGAAGACACCAGCCCTCGTGTTGCCGACGTCGCAACCTTCTCGTGGCGCCCGCCGGCTCTTCATACTGAGCCATTTCGTGACGGCCCCGAGGCCGAAACCTTCCAAAAGCTGGGCGTCGCGATTTTTTGGGCGCCGCCGGGATCTGAAGGGATTTCGAGCCATGGCTCGGGTCTCCGGCGGCCGTTCGGAGCGATCCGGGCATCCCCAGACCGCTCTCGGCGAGGCGCAGCCTGCTGGAAAGCCTCCCGAGGCTGGAGAACCTCCAGGAGCCGACGAGAAAACCCGAACACTCCAGCTTCGAACCTCGAAGGCTGGCCGTCACGAGTCTTGTTGCGTCGCCTGGACCTTCGGGGAGGGTCCACCGCTCCTGGGGCTTGCGCCGCCCCAGCGGCGGTGGTGCGGCACCAGCGCGGGCGTTCGGGGTCAAGCGCCGCCAATGGCCAATGGCCCCGAATCGGCCAGCACCGAGCTATCTTCGCGAATTACACGTAGGCACGCCAAAGAAGAAGTTCGTTTCCCACGGGTGCCCAACAAATTGTCTGATCGCCCGACGGGCCCGCAGAGCCCTGAGGCACCATGCGAAGCTTAGAGTCGACGGAGGACGTGCCCCTCGATTCTGATGGCAAGATTTCTCATCGCACCTGCTGGCTGGATGTAGCAGAAAGTCGGGACGGCTCAGTGTTGAAAGGTCCGGGGCTGGGATTCATAAATTTCCACAGCCTGGGGCACCGATCTCCCTGGACCTCAGGAGGTGGTGGGTATGGATGTGTTCGGCCCCCTTGGGCCCAAGTGTAACGATATCCACCGCCCCCACCACTCCCGTGGAGGCGGAAGTAAAACGGGGCAGAGCGAAGCCGGCAGAAGTACGACGTAAATCAAAAGTCGGCCTTCCAAGGGATGCACATTATTTTCGGATCCAGGGTCTGGAGCCAGCCAATTATGCAGCGGCGTGCAGTGCAGTGCGCGGCTCTCTCTTCAGATTTTGCGCGCCGCGGGGCAGAGGAGTGCTGAACTCCGTGCGGGGCGTGATAGGCGCGAAGGGTGTGCCGACATGGGCGTGGGCCCACATGCGAACACGCCCGCTGCGCAGTCTCTGGAGCTCCATTAGAGACATCTGTTCATCCACCCAAGGGATAACACGTGTTACCCCCCCTATCCCCCCGCCCCCCCCTGTAACGGTAACACCTTGGCCCGGTCCAGTGCGCGATCCCAGGCAGCCTCGAGCTTGTGGTGCACGCGGGCACTATTTGTGCCGCGGTGCACGCGGGCGTGCACTATGGTGTGCGCAGGCACTGCGGTGTACACGGGCGTTGTGGCGCACACATCTGTCGTTGTATCAGCAGCTGTGGTGTACACAGGCATAGTGGGTGTATGCAACATTGTGGTGTACACATCACAAGCACTGTGGTGTACACGGGTGCCGCGATGTACACAATCGCTGTCGTGCGCAAAGTCGCTATGATGTAAACGTGCGTTGTGGGTAATCATGTACCCACGCATCTCTTCCTAATGTTTCCTTCTCCTACCTCGTCATTTCGTCCTCCTCGTCGTCGTCGTCCTCTCTGCGCATACAGGACGCGGGCATTGATGATGATGATGAGGAGGAGGAGGAGGAGAAGGCGGAGGAGGAATAATAATATAGGTGTGCGCAGGCTGTGCGTGGTGCATCACGCAGATCCATTGGCGGTCTCGTGTACGGATTCCTGCAGCGAACTTCTTTTAGATGAGGGCGTGCACCGTGGCAGTGCTCTTGGAGAAAGAGCGCGGGCCCCGAGCTGTCGACCCCATTGCGGGGTTTCTTTTACTCAATTTGCTTATCCTGCTGGTGCTGCTGTTCCTCCTGCTCCTCCTGCGTGTATTCCCTCGGCTGACGCCGCTCCGCGCGCCCCCAAGCCGCGTGGTGTTGCGCGCAGTTGCCATGACGTGCGCAGTCGCTATGGCTTACACAGGCGTTGTGGGCCCAACATGTCCGAGCGTTCCTTAGGCCAGAAAATCAAATATCCACTATCAACTCAGGTATTGAATTTGATACGTTTGGGGCCCCAGCGGTTTTACGAAGTTTGGTTCCGTCGGTACCTTCAGGTGTGCGCAAGCTTTGTGATGTATGCAGTCACTGTGGCGCACATGGGGGTGCTGGAACAGCAGCTGCGGTGCACGCAGGCGCCGTGGTGCGCACGTACAGTTTGATGTACAGAGACGTTGTGGCGCACGCGGATGTTATGGTGTATACAATCGCCGTGGTGCAGACGTACCATTTCTGTAGTTGTCCTGGTGCACAGGCGTTGTGGTGCACAGATTCCGTGTTGTGTGCACATGCGCTGCGGGCTTGGACGGCGACGACAACGACGACGACGCCGACGACGACGACGACGACGACGTCGACGTAGGCGGCGCGCCTCGGGGGGTGCGCGCCGCGGCCCCCCTTACCATTGCCCCCTCCACCGCCCCCCCCCAGGGTAACGCGTGTTATCCCCAGGAATAAAAACAAATGTCTCTTACGGGCATGGTCCGCGTGAGACTTGTGAGCCGAAGTGGGCGGTCTTACGCGTGCGAGCGCTCCAGGTGGGGCCTCAGGTGGAGCTCCTTGTTGGGCGCGATCCGCGTAGTTGGGTGCGCCGACATGTACAGGGTGCGGACGCTGCCCCTGGGGCCGAAGGCCGCAGGTGGACCCCCTCCCCCGCACGGGGGTCGGGGCGCATGTTGGAGAGGGCCAGGCTTGACATGCGGAGAGCACGGGCAGGGGGGGCGGGTAAGCGGAGCAGGGGAGGGGGAAGTGGAGCAGGGAGGAGGAGTCGTGCGCGCGGCGAGGGCCGGGGAGCAGGCCGCGGCGCGAAGCCGATACGAGGGATGGGGCCGACAGTCTCCGGGGGACAGTGCATGGAACCAAAACGAATTTGAACCTTCACACACACTTGAGAGAACTGTCTATCCCCCCAGTCAATGTTGGTTTTCGCATGGGCGGTGGATTGAGGGTTCGGAAATTTATGTCCACCTGTGCCCTCTCCATTACCGCACGCTCTGTATGAAGTTTTGGGGGTCTGGGGGGGCATCTTGCGCCGCAGGGTTCGAACTTTATGGCCATGGACGGGACTGAGCGGAGGCCGCTCAGGGCCGACCGGTTCACGCGGTGCCGGGGACCAAAGCCGACTTCGTCAGGGCAGGGATTCGAAACCCGGGTGAGATACAGTAGACACATCAAGCACGACATCGGCCTACCAGCAGATGCCCCACGGAATCCTCCTATCCCCCGAATGTCCCAGGCTCCCACGGAAGTGTTGTGGTACCCTAGGACACGCAACTCTCGACGAAGGATTGTCATCAGGATTGTGCCCTCGGCGAGTGCCCTTCTGGATATGCGTGCGACGGGTGGCCTCCGGATGTTCTGGTTGTGTGTTGCAGCTTGATGTGTTTCCAATTTTCTTGGAACTGGAATTCTTATCGTATGTGTCTGCTGTACGGACGGGCTCCCGTTGGCGGGGAGGTGTCCGGACCTGCCGATCCCCTGATCGCAGAAGGCACTCTATACATTACCACCATGGCTGGCCAGGGCTATCCTGGGCGTTTGGGGTGGTGTGCAGGCCCTCCCTGGCCTCGGCCTAGGGAGCGTGTGCACCATGGGTCCAGCCGTGTGATCCGATATCACAAGAACAAAACAAAACATGGTGAAAAGTCACGACCCGAGCCCCGGCCCTCATCCTCTGGGGCTTTTCTCCAGCGGCATCGATCAGGGAGGGACCCGAGGGCCAGAATCTGGGCGAAAGCGCCGATGTGAGCAGAGAGTGACGCTCAGACCTCCGGGTGAGGATGGCCTTGGCCAGGCATGCTGGCGGTGGTGTCTGGGCGCCCTCTGCGTGTCCAGGGGCCCAGGGCCAGTCTCCTTAGAATTAAGTCGGGCGTGTCCCTCTACAGGGGGAATATTCCAAAATAGTGTAAACATAGTCTGGGGACGTTTTTTTTTTGCCTATTTTTGAGTATTTGGGGGGTATTGTTCCGTATTCTATATTTTTCTCCCGAAATCCCTCTGTAGGGGGACACGCCCGACTTACCTTAGGAGCCGCGGACACGCGTGGGGGTGTCTCCTGGCGGCGTGGCAGGGGCGGAGGATGTGCTGCGGAGCCTCGGTGGCCGCTGCCACGTGGTCATCGGGTGCGAGATCGTGTGCCCTCGGTGGCGCAGCGGCCGCAGCCGCGCTGGCCCCGAAACCGCATCGGCTCGGAGAGGAAGCAACTGCACAAGCATGAGTGTTCGGAAATCCGCGCATGTTTCTCGAATCGGCGCTGGGCCCCCCTCGCTGTCGCGCGGAGCGCGCCACGGGCGGCGCTGGAGGCACCGCCAGGGGGTCCCAGCGCCGATCAAACAAATCCGCGCGGACCTCCGAAATGTCACGTTTTTTTTGTTTTCTCTTTCTTCCTCTCCATACATAACACACATAGTTTTATATCTATAGATGTATGCATATGTATTTGTGTATATATATATATATATTAATAGGTCTCTCTCTCTCTCTCTCTCCATTGCTGCCGTGCGACATTTCGACAAGAGGGTCGCATCGGGGATGCCGTGGTCGGCGTTTTGGGGCAGCGCGCCGGATTCTTTGTTTTTGCCAGGTCTGGGGCCCCCTCGGGGGCTCCAGGCCGTGGTGCTCTGCGCTCTCTCGCCCTGGCTGCGGGCAGCGCCAGCGTCGAGAATTTCCTCCGCGCGCACACGGACGTGTTCAAGCCCTGGGGACCAAAGATGTCAGTATCCACTGCCTCCTTGGGGTCCTGGGAGGTCTGTTCCCAGAGCGTTGGTTGTGTTCCCAGCGCGTCTCGCAGACGACGGTATCGTGGTGACGTCGACAACGTCAGACACGATGATGGTAGTAGCGATGCTGGTGACGATGGTGACGATGACGACGGCGAGGCCAGTGACGGCGCCGACTCTTCTGGCGCCGGTGAAGATAATGACGTCCACATGTCGGTGATGAAGGTTTTTGAACGATTTCGACATGCGCGCGCGGCCGACGGGTGCAAGTGGCTCGCGTTGTATTACTTGACAGGGATCACCCCCCCTCCTCCCAGCAAGCGCGCAATGGCGTTCGAATGGTTCCGACATGCGCGCGCGAACGGTCCGCTCAGTCGCATTGGATGCACATGTTTAGAAACTGATGGTTTCCGTAAGAACTCGCAAGGGCGCGCTCAGATCCTTATGACAAAAACAAGGTGTCACACCAGCTGTCATTTTGAATATTCACATTGGCAGAATGGACCGTCTAGAGGCACCCTCTAGCCACGCCTTCCAGAGTCCCAGAATCCTTTTAGCATCCCTCTAGAGCCCATCTCTAGATCCCTCTTCTAGAGGGCTCTTTACCCTTAAAGCCATTTGAAGCTGTCTATAGCCGTTCAGAGAGACTGAATTGGCTATGTGTCTTTTCGGCGCGTCCGAGATTCCCCGCATATCACTTCATGTCTGATCTGCTCCTTCTGAGAGCTCGCGCATCCTGTGGCCCCTTAGAGACTTCTGCAGCCCGAACGCGCAGACAAAAAACATAGCCTGGCGTAGGACCCAAGCATATGCAGCTGCGAGTGCCGCGAGGGAGATGAGACGAAGGAGGGGGCGCGCAAACTCCAAGTAGCGCACGCGGTATAACCTGCTGCCACGAAGCGAGTGAAAGGTGTGCCGGCATGAGTCGGGAGGACTCCTGCGAACATCGCCACTGGGGCCTTCCGTGGAGCTCTCTATAGGGCCACGAAACGTATGAGGTGTGTGCCGGAATGAAGCGGCGGTGCCATGCGGACGCTCCCGCTGGGGCCTTCGGTGGGGCTCCCTATGGGACCACGAACCGTGGGCGGGGTGTGCCAACATAGGGCGGCGGTGCCATCTGGACGCTCCCGCTGGGGCCTTCGGTGGAGCTCCTTATTTGGCCACGAGCCGTGTGAGGGGTGTGCCAAAATGAGGCGGCGGTGCCACGCGGACGCTCCCGCTGGGGCCTTCGGTGGAGCTCCCTATGGGCCCACAAACCGTGTGAGGGGTGTGCCAAAATGGTGCGGCTGTGCGTGTGAAGGGTGTGCCAAATGGGGCGGCGGTGCCATGCGGACGCTCCCGCTGGGGCCTTCGGTGGAGTTCCCTATGGGGCCACGAGCCGTGCGAGGGGTGTGCCAACATAGGGCGGCGGTGCCATCTGGACGCTCCCGCTGGGGCCTTCGGTGGAGCTCCCTATGGGGCCACGAGCCGTGTGAGGGGTGTGCCAAATTTGGGCGGCGGTGCCACGCGGACGCTCCCGCTGGGGCCTTCGGTGGAGCTCCCTATGGGGCCACGAGCATTGTGAGGGGTGTGCCAAAATGAGGCGGCGGTGCCATGCGGTTGAAGAAACACTGTTGGACACCATTTGTTCCAGGAATATCGATCTTGACACCCGTGCGAGACTTACGGTTTTCGAAAGGTTTCGGCATGCACGCGCTGCGGCGCGCGTGTGTGAATTTTGTAATATATGTTGGAAGGGAATGTTGGATTCGTTATGACAAGCCAATGTGTGCGCATAGTAGTATTCGACAGAGATCCGGGGGGCGATACGGGTTCCCCTCGGATGTTTTGAATTCATTTTTAAGCTTTACCATGCGGCATATGCATTTATTTACTAAACCATCCCAAGGGGAAACGATAAACTGGGGGCGGCTGTAGTTTTATTTATTTTTGGGGTGAATATATATGGTGGAAGATAAATTTGCAATCGATGTGGGGTCCAGCGACGACGTGCGACGAGGCGGCGACGAGGCAGCAACGGCGACGGCACAGCCGCCAGACCGACCCGCAAACCCAGACGACGGGGCGGTGACGACGCGGCGACGGGGCGGCGACGGCGACGACAGCCGCCAGACCGACCCGCAAACCCAGACGACGGGCGGCGACGACATAACCGCCAGAGCGACCCGCACTCCCAGTCCCTCAGCAAACGCATGAGACCCCCTAAATGCAAACCGTGTTCGGGGAATTTATGCATATTTGTATTTACTGTATATAATACACATACATGGCGACATTGTTTTATACCATAAAAGGGCACACACATGTGTCTATATGTACAAATGTGTGTTTATGGTCTATGCGGATGGGGGGAGATGGAGAGAGAGAGAGGGAGAGAGAGAAAGAGAAAGAGAGAGAGAGAGACACAGGAAGGAATTATCATGATTTCTGGTGAAATGTTCCGGAGGTATCAGCACGACGAGGTCACGTCTGCGGCCCTGGCAGAGACGATGTCGCTGCTTGCGGGGGCAGACGGTATCTGCCTCTTCGCGTACGAGTTTCGCGAAGGTCTGTTGGGAGACTTTGAGTTTTTCGACCGCGTGAACGAGCGATTCAATGTTGAAGTGGAGTCGCTTGCTCCCTATGGGTTTGGAGCACAACAGAGAAGCGATGACATGGATCGCTTACTGTACGTTTACCGGCCTACGAGTGTCGCCTAGCCGTGGCGCGACAGGAGGTGCCCGATTGGAGCGCAGCACAGAGTCTCTCAAATTATGACTTCGTGCCCACATCGCATCCTCCATCTGCGCCCCCTCCCTCCTCTCCACGTCCTAAGTGTGAGGTTGCGATGACGTCCTCATCCGTCCATTTTCCTGCTCCTTGCAGTGTCCTGCGTCTTTCCTCTTTGCTCTTTCCTCCCCCGTTCGCCCCCGTGGATCACGCTGGTGGTATACATCGTACGCGCGCACTTAATCATGGCTGGGGCATATCAGCGCACGCTCGGGCAATATCCGTACACATACGCGCAGTCTCACTCGCTAGCGCGTAGCCGCGCATCAGTAGAGTATGTATGGATGCCAGCAGAACTGTCGGTCGATTTGAGTCAAGTTGAAATTCCGTGGTCGGCGTTTCTGGGGGATCGCGCTGTTTCGGCCAGGCCTGGGACTCCAGAAGGGCCTGAACACCGGGTATTCCCTGAACAGACCCCGACGTCCACGCGCAAATACACGCTTGCCCTGTGAATGGGCGCTGCGCCATACGGTAAGACATCTTGGTACAATAATCTATAATGAGCCCATCTTTCGTCGAGTCTGAGCTTTAAAAGGTGCCCCAGGGCTGTGCCGCCCCCGTCGGGCGATGCGGATATCATTATCGGTTTGCACGCGTTGGCAGGCCAGTTTCCCATGTGGTTTGCCCACCGTATCTCATGCACACTTCTCAGACGTTCTAGGCTGGCGAAGTCGCAAAGTTGGGCCCGGCCAGTTCTACTAGTTACCTGCCCGCTTGACCGCGCCGCACCGTCCTCCGCCTGCCAGCCCCTGCCCTGGATAGCATGAGCAGGGGTCAGATGGGAGGGAGGAGAAGGAATAATAACAATAAGAAGAGGAGGAGGACGAGGAGGAGGATTAGGACCAGAGTCATTCCAAGATGTACCTACGTTGCAACAGTGCACCCTCCCGTCACAAGTTCCCTCCTAAGTTAGTCCTCACAAGCAGTCGTTTTCACTGCACGAAGCGTTCCAGTTCACTGCAGGTTGTTTTCCTCTTTCCCCCTTCTCTCTCTCTCTCTGTCTCGTTCTCTTTTCTTCGTCTTTTCTCTTACGATTTTCACCGTAGGGATGATGCACATGGGGCGTACTCGCTCCCCCTCAGCTGTGGCGTGTCGTTCTCCCCTTTCCTCTCCCCCCTCTCTCTCTATCCCTCTTCCCCTCTGGGTGCCGCTGTGCGTTCCTGCACATCATAAGTGGCCGTTCGGGCCGCAGGGGATCTTCGCACAGGGCCCTGGCCCATGCTCCGTTTTTCCCGTCCCTCTTTCCTCTCCGATGCTCGTGAACATCGGGGGCCCCCAAACGGGGTGGTGACCACACCGTGTGGTGAGTCGGTGTGGACTCGGGGTCAACACACGGTTTTGGGACTCGGGCCGCTTTCCGAGGACGTCTCGGGCGACTGGGGCCTCCGGGGTCCCAAGGCCGTGCGGTGACGGACCGTGCGGTGAGGTCTTGGGGGATTTCGAAGTCACCGCACGGTCTGTCACCGCAGCGTTTCGGGATTCTAAACAACAGTGGCGTGTCGGCGGACTCTTGCCACCTGTCTCGGGTGGCTCACGGAAACCAGCTGCAGGGTGGAGTGCCCGAGTGAAAACGCCAGTACGCGAGGCGGCTGCCTTGGACAGCGAGAGCCCACCCCACTCCATCATTCGAGTGGTGAAGGCCTGCGAGAGAAGGTGATGGGCCTGTTTTCCATTACCACCACCACCACCACCACCACCACCATAAGTTGGAGGGGGGAAGGAGGAGGAGGAGGAGGAGGAGGAGGCGGAGGAGGAGGAGGAGGAGGAGGACCCCCTCCCCCTCCAACCTATGATGGGTGTGGTGGGGAAGCAGGGCCATCGGAAGGTGTGACGCGACAGCCCCGCGCTGGGAGGAAGCCGCCCTCCGCCCGTGCAGAGCTGCTGCACCGTCTCGGAGGGCGCCGGTGGCGAGAGCACGAGTCTGAAGGCGTGATGGTTTCCTCCTCCTCCTCCTCCTCCTCCTCAGTCCTCCTCCGTCCGTCCGTCCGTCCGCTTGCCTGCTGCAGGTTCTCGAGCCAGTGTGCGTGGCACGGGGGTGAGATCCGCACGGCGAAGGCGGCCCTCCTTCCGATCCGTCTGGCCACTGGAGTGGTTCCAGGTGCGGGCTCGCAAGCGGCAGCGAGGTCTGGAGCGAAGCGCCCGTCGCGGCCCATATGGGTACGCCGGGTGGAGCGGCAGGATCGGGGAGCTTCTTATAAGGAAGAGGGGTGGTGTGGAGAGAGAGGAGGACCGAGAAGGAGGAGGATCGATGAGGAGGAGGAGGAACGAGGACCGAGGACCGAGGGCCGAGGGGGAGGAGGAGGAGGAGGAGGAGGAGGAGGAGGAGGAGGAGGAGGCCCGCTCCTCCTGCCCGTCTCCGCGCTTGGCGCCTGCCACGGGGGCGCGCTCTCGACGGGAGGCCAGGCCTTGTTGCACCTCTCGTGCCGCGGTGGTGTTTGGGAACGGCTGCTCGTAATTGTCCCATCGCCGAGGGCCTCTGGAGGCCTCTGAGGGCTTTCTCTGGGACAGGGGAGGGGCGTTTCTTGTTGTTCGTCTCCCTTTTTTTGTTCTCTCTCTCTCTCTATCCCTTTCTTTCTCTCTGTCTCCTTTTCTCTCTCTCTCTTTCTCTTTGTCTTTCTCTGTCTTAGTATCAGTCTCTCTTCCTCCGTCCTTCCTCTCTCTCCCTCTCACTCTCTCTTCTTTGTGTTGGCCTCGCTCTCTCTCTCTCTCTCTCTCTCCCTCTCTGTCTCTGTTTCTCGATTTATCTTCGCCTCTCCGTATGACTTATGTTCAAAGGTATTGTTATTAGTGTTGATATTATTCGTACCAGTATTATTGTTAGTATGATTATTAGTACTCTTATTATTATCATTACTTTTAGTGTGTTAATACTAGTGTTAGTATCAGTGCTATTATTATTGCTATTATTTTTATGCGTACTATTATTATTATCATAATTATTCGCATTGTTATTACATATGTATGTATGTATGTATATATGTATGTATGTATGTATGTATGTATGTGTGCATACGTGCATACATGCATGTATGTATGTATGTATGTATGTATGTATGTATGTATGTATGTGTGTATATATGTATGCATGCATGTATGCATGTAAGTATGTGTGTTTGTATGTAGGTACGTATGTAATTAGTGTATGTAATGTATGGCATACTATATGTATGTATGTATATGTATATGTATATGTATACGTATCTGTATAGGTATATGTATATACATGTGTATGTGTACATGTATATACATATGTATTTGCATATGTATATGTATCTGTATCTGTATATGTATATGTATATGTATATTATATGTATATGTAAATGTATATGTATGTGTAAATGTAACTGTATATGTACAGGTATATGTGTATGTATATGTATATGTATATGCATATGTATATGTATATGTATATGTACTTGTGTATGTATATGTATATGTATATGTATATGTATATGTATATGTGTATGTGTATCTATATATATGTATTGAATCGCTTCGCTCATTCCGCCGGCTTGCACGGCCTCATCTTTGCCGTTTGCCCGAGAGCTCGTTGTCAATGCGGCGCTGTTGGGGTCTCTTGGCAGACGTCTCGGGAGCCTTCTGGAGGCAATTTTGAAGCCTCTTGAGGCCTCTTGTGGGCCGTTTCCGGGCCCTTGGGACCTCGTTTTGGGCCTCTTGGGGGCTTCTTGGGGTCTCTTGGGGGCTTCTTGGGGGCCTGCTGGAGGTCTCGGAGGTGCTCCGTAGGGTGGAAAGATTGAAATGTCATTTCGAGTTCCCCCTCTTGGGCCCCTCTTGAGGCCGTCTTGGGCCGTCTTGGGCGCCTCTTGGGCAGTCTTGGGGCCCTCTTGGGCCGTCTTGGGGCCCTCTTGAGCTCTCTTGGGCCTATCTTGGGGGCTTGTTGGGCCGTCTTGGGGCGATCTTGGGGGCCTCTTGGGCAAATTTGAACGCTGTGAACCCCCAGACGTCGCATATGTGAAAAAATACGTTTCCCGAAGGGAATGTGACGATTTTTGCTTGTTGGGGCCCTGGGGCACTCTTGGAGAGCCTCTTGAGGCTCTCTTGGGGCTTCTTGGCGGCCTCGACGGCCGTCTGAAGGCCATCTTGGGCGTCTTGGGCCGCTTGATAGGTGACCCGGAGCGCTCTTGGACTGCCTTGGAGGCCTCTTAGGGCATTCTTGGCGCGCTCTGGGGGCCCTGAGAGACCGCGCCCAGGAGGAAAACCATCTCTGAGTAAAGGGTGGCCAGGCTGCGCCCGGGCGGCGGTCGGGGTACTTTTCGCCGCGGGGCCCTCAGGGGCCGCCCCGCGCGCGCGAGCTAGAAATAGTGTTAACCAGTTACCGGAGATCTTTGCACGCCTCTGGCCCGTTGGGCCGGCGAATTTCGTTATGTCTCGATCTCTCTCGATGTGTACATATCCCTCGCGCTCGTTGTGATTTAAGTATGATCTCTCTCCCTCTCTCTCGTTCTCTCTCTCCCTAACTCCACTTATGTGGTTCTCGCTCTCTTTCACTCCCGCGATATCTGTCTCTCTCGCTCTCCGCCGTTCCCATCCCCTGTCTTCCGAACATGTCAGCGTTTGCCAACAAGTCGTAGGCGTTCAGTCTTGTGACGATGCTGCCACTGTGGTTGTGTGGAAGACATATCGAAGGCGGCATCGACCATATCATCTCCCGTGCCCCTAATGCGTGCACGAGTTGCTGTAGCACTTGCTCCATTCGTGCTTTCAGACTAGATGCCAATGGTCGATCCTGTACGCGCATCGGTATCAACATGCGTAGAGAGAGCATACCTGCTACGGTGACGAATCAGGGTTCAAGCATTTTGAGAGTACAGCTGTGAGAGCTGTGTGTGCTCGGCAGCCATGGGTGCCCAGAGGCTGCACCAGCCGCTCTCTCGTTTCACTCAGCGGCAGCGTGATGCGTGCATGCGTCGTTTCGAGAGGCAAGATTTCGCGGCAGACGGGTTCAAGAGTGATTGGATGGGCACGGAAAATTTGTCGGTCTATGTTGCGTGCTTGTACAATTTGCGCACCAGGTGGAGGTCGAACCGCAAAACTATCCAAGTGGGTGGTGTGCACTACCCTACGTTGATCGTGTCGAATCATCTGTCTCCGCCGGTGTCGGCAAGCAGTGCTCAGTGGTGTTGGCTCGATAATCGCGGCGAGCCTAGCGGTCTGGATGCCAAGCTTTGCTGCGATACGCAGACCTACGGTGCAAGCGGTTTAGAGAGTTGTTGGGACGGCTATTTCACATTCGAGCTCTGTTGTCGTGGGAATGTTGAATTGTACGAGCTGCCCCACTTCTTTGTCGCTCCAGCGATGGATGTCAATGTAGGTAACGCGGTGAGACAGCTAGGCACATTCGATTTGGGTCAGTCCTATGCACTGCAGACACTTTGCCACAGCGGTGACACTGTATTGGATATTGGTGCCAATGTCGGGGGATTCACTGTTCCGCTTGCTGAGCGTGTTGGGCCGCAAGGCAAAGTGCACGCTTTTGAGCCCTTTCGAAAAGTGTTCCAGCATCTGAATGCCAACGTGGCGCTGAATGGTTTGACAAACGTTTTCACACATCAAGTTGCTTTAGGAACAGAGCGCAAGACGTTGGAGATTCATGCCCCTGATCTCACCATTTTCAATTTTCCATCCGCTATTAGAGTTGTGGAGCAGCTGCGTCCGGATGATGCTGCCCGAAATGCAAACTTGAGATACGAGAAGGAACTCCAAGAGATAGATGTGAGGCCGTTGGACAGCTTCCAATTTGCAGGCAGCATTCGTCTTATCAAGATAGATGTTGAATTCATGGAGCTCCAGGTGATCCTCGGTGGCCGAGACACCATACTGCGGCACAAGCCAGTGATTTGGGTAGAGAACGAGCCATTCTTCGATGACCCTCCTGACCGAACGCTTGTGAACATGATGTCCTCTGAGTTGGGCTACGAGTGCCGCCCAGTAGCGAAGCTCGAGCTACTTTGCGTACCTGGCGACTATGGCGAGGGCCAGGGGAAGCTGCCCCGTGGCTTCCACAGAGTCTTCCGGCACCTCACAGGACAGGCCCAGGATGTGAATCTCTGGGGAGCCTTGGCCGAAGTGGATGGGCATTCCTAGAATGAGTAATCTTGATGTTATAACACTCGGTGGCATGGCAGCTTGCGAGACCGCCACGTCTGGCATCATAGTGGATTGGCCTTGCGAGCACTTTTTTGTGGTCATCTGAGGGTGCGGGAGAGTGCAAAAGGTTCTTCGCTCTAGCGCATACGACCTCGAGTGATCATATACGTCTTGCCCATTGCGAGTGAATCTGCTACCTCTGGTTGGTTCCGCAGCCAGATTCGTTCGATGAGCCCTCGTGGCTGCAAGTCTTGCCTCAACGCGTAGGTCTGTTTCATTCAGTGATGATGTCATTATCGCTTGTTGCACCTGTATTGTTTTGACATTGTTGATGCGTCTTCTGGTTTGCAGGATTGAGTCTGTTCCACCGAGGTCTAATTTCGTCTGCCCACGGGGCTTAGGTGGCAGTGTATTTCCATCCCTCCAGCTTCCTCGGGGAACACCTCTGGTTTGTGGGGATCCCCCCAAGTCACCGCTTCCGTGGCTCGCGCTTGGCTTCAGTCTTCTTTCACAGTACGGTTGCTTACGTCTTTGCCGCCTTAACGTTGTTCTGGCTCACTTATTTTCGCCTATCGCTTGTATTCAGCATCGACTACACTTACCTTGCCAGTGCCATTATTTCACATACCTTCAGCTTCATTTATCTTATATGCATAGTTTCCCGATGGCTTACTCATCGTTTCCAAATGAGCTGGCCTTCAGCTCGCTTGCAGCATATATTGGGCTTTCCTGTAGCCAGCGTTGATCTTGTCGTTCGCAAGTTGGCTTGATTGCAGTTGTTGTACATCGATTTCCTTTTAGATTGCCTGCAGCTTGCCTTTGATTCTCCAAGCATTGCTTCCACTTAAGGGCTCTCATTTCGTTTCTGAGGAACTGGGCCTGTCCGTCGGTCTGGTAGCTATGTGGTCGCCGTCGCCGCCCCGTCGCCACCTCGTCGCCGCCCGTCTTCTGTCCTGCCAGTCGGTCTGGCAGCCATGTGGTCGCCGTCGTCGCCCCCAGGGCTCTGGGCCTGCCCGTCGGTCTGGCGGATGTGTTGTTGCCGTCGCCACCCCGCCGGCCCCATTCCCGCCCGTCGCCGCTGGCTCGTTGCATTGCACCACCCTCCGTTGCCTTGCGATCGCATTGCATGGCATTTGCATCGCATTGCGTTGATTTGCACTGGCTTTGCGCGAAGTAGATTGCACCACATGGGTTGCACCACCTAATTGACCCGCGCAGATAGTAAGCCATCATTCTTTGAGGTCCACGCTGGCTGGAGAATGCTTCTGGCTTGGAATTGTCTTGTCTGCGGGAACTGTTATCGCAAGAGTTTCGATTGTCCTCAGCTTGCCTGTCGCTTCCCTCTGCTTGTAGCTTACCTTTAGCTTGTCCTCATATCGTGTCAACTTGCTTATTGTCTCTACTTTGCATTTTGGCCTGCATTCTCCTTCGCCTTCCCTGAATATTGCATCTCGATGCCTTGCACCTTGCCTTTAGGCTGCCTTTAGCCTGCCTGTAAGAGTTGCTTATTGTGTCGGTCGATGCTGCCCTTAGTTTGCTCTGTGCTGGACTCCAGGTTGATGTCATTCATTTTGCTGTTGCCTAATTTCTGAATGCCCTCAGCAATCCTTTATCTGTCCTCAATATGGTCTTAGTTTGCCTCTCGCGCGCCTACAGTTCTCCTTTCGGCTGCGTTTGACGTGCTCCCGCATCCTCTATATTGATGGTTATGTTGCGTATGAGTTGTTTCGGCGCGCGCTGACATTGCCTTCCAGCATGCGTCTGTGGTTCCTTTTACTTGATTGCAGCTTTGTGGCCTCGTGCCATCTTACCCTTAGCTTGCCTGTGGGTTGTCTTCCGCTGTCCCCCGAGCTGGCCCTTTGCTCGCCTTCTCTTACCTTCAGCGTGCTATGAGCTTGCTTTTTAAGCTCGACTATACCTTGCTTCTAACTTGCCAAGTCGGCTCTTGACAGAAGAGTGAGCATCCTGACTGGGGTCGCGCTGGGTTAATTTGTTGCTACAGCAGGACAAGTATCGCCGCGAGCTGCGGTCGTTGTCTCCATGCCCCTGTCTTCCATCCCCCTAAGATGCCGTCGCCTGCGTTTCATTGCTGTGGGCGGCGTTCTGGAATAGCCTCCTTCCCCCACCCCTTTAGTTCAGTCGCAGTGGTGACGCGCGCGCGCTCTTGCGTGGCCCTGCTGCAGTCGACGGCGTGGGCTGCGCACACCCCTGCTCACCGTGGCTGGTGCACCGACCGCGCCCAGGGCCATGCCTAGCCCGCGCGCTGCAGCCGCCGCCGTGCGGCGGCCGCGATGGGCGTCGGGGGCCAGCGCCGCAGGCGGCGCGGCCATGTCCTGCGGAGGTGGGTGGCGTCTCAGGTCCACCGCCAGAAGATGTCCATATCCGCCGCCTCGGGATCGCGCCCTGGGGGTTCGGGGAGTGGCGGCTGTGGATGTCTGCTTGCCCGCACGGGCGGATGTCCACATCCACCGCGCCCTGAGTCCCTGAGACACGACCCTGCGGCAGTGGATGTGGACATACTCCCCAGACATCTGGCGCTCCAATCCTTTCGATGCGTGGAGCCCCGGAGATCTGGACCACTTCCCGAGGGCCAGCTTTTCATCCTGAGTAGTTTTTTTCCCCCACTGTGGCCGCTTCAGGGCCCCCAGAGGCCGAAAATTACCCAAAACCGGCCGCGCCATCTTTTTTCGAAGCTACGGGTCTCTGTCTGGTGGCCCATCAGGGGGGCTGGCTGTCCGACAAGATCGGCATCCGCCGCGGCGGCGGGCGCGACAGCGGCAGGGGCGTCTTCGCGACCGCGGACGTTCCGCCTGGTGAGGCGCTGGTCTCGCTACCCCCGCGGGCCCTGCTGCTGAGCGAGGAGGCGACGCGGGACGTGCCCTGCAGTCAGGCCATCGCCGCGCACTTCGCTGGGGAGGGCGGCGCCGGCCCGAGCGAGAGGCACGTTCACGGCGTCTTCAGCATCATGGTCCTGTTTACGCCTCTTAGATGGGGTCGGAGTAAATGGGTTCGGAGGATCGCGCCGCATCGCCGACCCTCATCCACTCGGGCCCCATCGAGGAGGCTTCCATCGCTGGACGAGGGAAGAATGCCGATACCGCCGCAATCCATAATCCCCCTCGGCGCCACGGGTGGATTCGCCTCGGAAGGCTGGTCCGGACGCATTCCATGAGAGGCACGTCCACGGTGTTTTCATCATCATCTCGAAAACACATGTTAGCCAGCGTGGGCCCCCAACCAGTGTGTTTCTAGCAATACAACCTGCGTGGGCGCATTTTATATTGTGCAATCGATGCTGTGAAGTCTACGATGTGCAGCATATGCCTTGCAATCTATGCAGTCCTCTCTGTATGTGTATATATATATATACATATCCGTAAAAGGGATTCGCCCCCTGCCGCCGGCCCCCTCTCTCGGAGAATGGGCCATGGCAGAGCGAAGTCATGAGGCTTTGGCTTTGGCGTGAAGCAGTGTCGGGACCTATTTGTTTTTCGACCCTGACCCTGCCGATCTACGTGAGGGGTGCCGCCGAAATTCAGAAATGCGGCAAATCCCTTCTGTTTTTGGACCCTGACCCTACGGGTCTGCGTCAGGGGTGCCACCGAATTTCAGAAATGTTTCAAATCCCATGTGTTTTTGGACCAAGCTTGGCTCAAGCTTGGCTCAAGGCAGCTCAGGAGCTCAGGAGCTCAGGAGATGTACCCCCTTAAATTCCCGATCGCACCTGTACCCCCTTAGTTTCCTCGCTCCCATACTGTATCGTCCATTCCTCGTGCACTGTTTTGCGCAAGCCTTTTGTCATGACGACGAACACCCGGCGTCCAGGCACTCCAGTGCGCGGAGTGTTAGGCGAGGCGTCATCGAGTGCCTCTGCAGCTGCGTCGATTGCGCCGCCCACGCCAGTCTCAGGACAAGCGGGCTCGTTTGTCCAGTCCGTTGCACCAGATGGCCGGTGACGACGATGACGTTGGAGCAGCGGTGGCAACAGCAGGCATTGTGGATGAGACGGCCAGGGTGTTTTTCAAGGAGAATGTCACTAACGAGTCGATTGCAAAGTTACTTGCTATGAACTTGAAACCTTGAAACCTCTCATTTCGGATGCTCGTACGTTGCAAGATGATGTCGCTCGCACCGAGAAGAACTTCGACAATATGAGTGCTGAGGTAGACGCTCGTTTCGAATCTGTGGAGTCGGACATGAAGGCCCAAAATATACAAATGGAGGAGCTACATGCCGCTTTGTCGAGGGGCGTCTCAGTGCAAGTTCGGTCTCGGGAGCCACGAAGCCGGACAATGGCAATGATATGGAGGCCGAGCTCAACGCCAAGATTGCTAAGCTCGAGGCTCAGCTTGGCAAGTTCAGCCATAACTCGTTCACAGCTGTCTTCGGTGGCCTTGGCGGTGAGTGGAGCGAGGCTGATGTTCACAAATGGTTGTGCAACGTGCTCTCTGCTGGTGGGGGACCTGTCCCAGCCTCAGTTTTTGGGAAAAAAGGTCTTTCAATGGTTTGTTGTTTGCCCAGTTCTCAACAGAGGCAGAGAGAGAGACAGCGCAATTCATGAGATCAGGGACAACGGCCATGAATGGAACTGTACTCGCGTGTGGGCTCACATCGATCGTCCTTTGGAGGAGCGTCTTCCCGAGGCGTTCACTTTTGCCGTTAAAAAGGTGATGGTGGAATGGGGATGGTCGAAAACTGCTCTTTGGGTGGGTCGCGATGCGGCCACGCTCTTTCTTGGCGCAGAGGAAGTTCTTTCCTCCATGGTTCGGGCCGGCACTTTCGAGATCGACTTCGGAATCGGTTGGCAGGAGGAGCTTCGTTCCGAAGAGCTTGACAACATGTTCTCGAAGGCCAAGGAAAAAACTGAACAACAAGCAGCAGCAGAAGTGCAAACGGCACCAGAAAGGCATCACCAAGGGCAAGGGCAAGGGGAAAGGAGCATCCAAAGGACGGTAGGGACAGCACCGATCGGACGAACAATGCAGCTTCACAGAATTCAATATTTATTGCAAGAATGTGCATATACACAATTCCGACAGGCAAGCACAACTTTCGGGCGAATTAGAAGGTATAGCATGGGACTTTATTTGTTTATCGGAGGCGCGTGCCAAGAATGACGATGTGGGCTCGGACGGAGAGCGTCGTTTGATCACGGCTTTGGGAAAACAAGCATGTGCCGGCACCGCTGTGGTGATTCACGCCAGACATGCCGATGTTGTTCGGGGTTTCCGCTCTCGCAACGGGCGGGTCTTAGCAGTTGACGTGCGTTTGCAGGTTTTCCTTTTGACAATAATTTCAGTGTGTATGCCTCATGCCGGGCATCCGTACGACGAGCTTGCGCAGTGCTACGTCCATCTGCAGAAGGAGCTAGACATTGCGCGCGGCGGGAGGACACGCGTGATCATTGGCGGAGACTTTAACACCCAGAACGACGTCGGACGGCGAGGGTCTCTGCCCCAGGAGTTCTTTCAATCCAACAACATGGTGGCGGGAAATGTGGTGGACCCAGTAAATGACGATCTGAATGCGCAGTGGGCGTTCGAATCTTCGTTGGGACTCAAGCGGCGTATTGATTACATATTTTGCGATGATCGTTGGATCCCGTTGTCTCGTTGTCCTATTCGGAGTCTTGATATGGGTTTTGACCATCGGGCTGTGCATGCCATCTTTCGCCATTCTCTGCCCAAGCAGCGCAAGCAGACGAACGGGCAGCTTCGTCGAAGATGGGCGCCTACGCTCGGGCCAGATCGTCGCGACCATAAGCGCGAGGCTCTGGTGGGAGATCATTTGCAAAATTCAGGTGCGTCTTTGAGAGACGTCGAAACTGCTGCGACAGCAGCGGCAGCTGAAGCCGCAACGCATCAACTTCCTGATGAACGACGGCCTTGGCGAGAACACGCAGTTCAACATCTTTGCGAGAAGAGGCGGGGGACGACCAACAATGTCGAGAGGGCGCACTTGTCCAACGTGATCGACGAGGAACTCCGGAAACACATGCGAAAGTATCTCGACGACCAGGCGCAACGGCAGTTGGAGAAATTCACGGGCATCAAACACCTACCTCGTCTTCGCATGTCCCCCGCTCAACAGAGCCGCCGGCGCCCGGTTGCAGCCGACGCATTCCGTGCATCCTTGCAGGAAGCATTCAAAACTGACAGCGCGCAGCCACGAGGCGATCGGTCTAGCTCTTACTGCAACAGTGGTTCGCACGACATTCCTGATTTTTCCCTTTCGGAAATCAAGGGCGCTATGGCGCGGATGGGGCGAAGCGCGTGCGCAGACAGGGCAGGGGTCACTCTTGAGATGTTCTTGCGCGGGGGAGACGTCTTGAACGATGCGTTGCTGGAAGGCCTGAATGCAATTCTCCGTGCCGGATTCATGGGGCGAGCTTGGCGAGAGACGTCCCTCGTGATGCGACGGCGAAGAATTGGCGCCCAAATCTGGTGCTTCGCATCGCGTGCAAAATCTTTTCGAGGATGATTTTTCGAATGATTACGGCTCATTGTCGACGCCGAACAGCCGGAGGATCAGGTCGGTCTCAGACCGAAACGATTCGTAGATGATGCATTTGTCGCGCTGGAAGAAATTTGCTCCAAATGCTGGGAGTGGGCGAAGCCGATGTGGGTAGTCAGTATCAATCTTACCAAGGCCTTCGATCGCATCGATCACCACTCTCTGTTTGAGGTGCTGGACCGGCAAGGTGCCCCCGAGCCATGTCTGCGGCTTCTCTCCGACGTTTACGACCATCAGGCAGGCGTGGTCAACGGCAGTGGGCCTTTCGACATCACGCGCGGGGCGAAACACGGCGACGCCTTGTCATCGTTTTTGTTCCATGCCGGGCTGGGGGGCGCGATCCGGCGTTTCAAGAGCCGCTTCCCTGACAGTGGAATCGACGTGGGAGGGCCAGAGCGACTGAGCAACATTCGCTATGCGGATGACATTTTCCTACGCGGGAATTCGGCGGATGAGTGCGCCGCGATGCTCCGAGCGTTGATCGACAGCTTGCCGCGCGCGGTCTGTTGTTGAACGCCATCAAGACAAAGGTCTGCACCAATGACATTGCCTGTGCCTGCGCGGAACAGCCAGTCCCCTTTGGTTTCGACGGCCATGATTTGTTTGTGATGAATAAGCACGACTGCCACAAGTACCTTGGCAAGAAGTTTAGTGGCGATGTGAAGGAGCGGCCCCTGCGCAACCTGAACTACCGCTTGGAATGCGCATGGAGCAAGTATCATGCACACAAACATGTATTGTTGAACAAGGCAATATCGTTGAAGTTACGGTTGAAGTTGTTCAACGCGGTTGTCGCGCCGACCGCTGTTTTTGGCCTGGTGACTACTGCTTTCGCCCAGCAGCAGCGCGACATAATAGCATCAATGCGTATGCAGATGCTTCGCAAGATTTTTGGTTTCAACCAATTTCCAACAGAGTCTTGGGAGGACGCTGGCAGACGGTGCAAAGAAAAAATACGACATGCATTGTCAATTATAGATGTTCCGGATTGGGTCGCGTGCATCGACCGTGCACGTTGGCGGTTGTTGACCAGAATCGCGGCGCATCCTTGCAGCTGGCCGCACCAAGTGTTGGCGTGGACCCCACAAGGATCTGTTCGGCGACGCGGTCGTCCGAAAACCCGGTGGACCGACAGCGCGTCTGCTTTCTGCGCGGCAAGGAAGAGCGGACTTTGGCACAAACATTCCGAGAGTTTTCACGAAAGAAGTGGTCCATGCTGGAGAAAGAGTATTTTGAGTGCATGAACAACTGATTTCCGTCACCCTCCCCCCCTCACCTCCCCCTCCTTCTTCCCTCTTCCTCCCGTCCCCCCAAGCACGCCTGTCAATGCTGCATCCGATTTTTCTAGTTCGCCGCCAGCGTTGCTCGCCATGGCAGGCCTGTTTTACAGTTTCGCCGTCCTCACGAGTGGGGCGTGACGCTTTGAGGCGTCCGATCGGACCTTTGCTTTGCTTTTTGCTTTTGTGTTTTTGGACCCTGATCCCGCCGATCTGCGTGAGGGATGCCACCGGATTTCAGGAATGTTGCAAATCCCACGTGTTTGTTGGCCCTGACCCCGCCGATCTGCGTGAGACGTGTAACCGAGTTTTAAACATGCGGCAAATCCCATGTGTTTTTGGACCCTGACCCCGCCGATCTGCGTGAGGGGTGCCACCGCATTTCAGAAATGTGGCAACTCCCAAGTGTTCTTGGACCCTGACCCCGCCGATCTGCGTGAGGGGTGCGGTGCC